TGGCTTGGCGTGATGTGAAACACAGCCCGTGCACACATCACCTTCCAGATGGCTTCTGCACATAACCCACAGCCCCACTGATAGTCCCTGAGCGCACTTCAGGCCAGGACCAGACAAGCCATGCCAAGTTTGCTGCAAACTTGGTAAGTTTTACTGGATTCTCTTGTCTTTTGTCTGACATCCCATTTAAGAGGTCATTGATTTTCGTGGCACAAGCTAGCTTATAACCACAGCGTTCACTGTTTTCTCCTATGGGTTAGGAACATTTTATTACAAAGCAAATTGTACTGACATTCAGTGAAGTTTCATTAAGGGCCTGCTGTGCAACAGGTGTTATTCTAAGCATTGACTTTCCAGTAGTAATCCAAATACACAAAAATACCCATCCTGAGGACCAGCAGATGGTGTAATGGTTATGTCACTGGACTCCCACGTAGTTGACCAAAGTACAAGTCCCAGACCCAGTGGCTTAAAACCCAAGTCAGGCACATGTGCATGTGTACCTAAGATCCTGAGAAGAGAATGGAAGAGAAGGGATTACGGCATGGCCATCCATCCCTCCTGAGGGGTGATTTCTCGCTTTCTGTCTCTCTGTCTCTTTCTCTCTGTCTCACTCTGTCTCTCCAGTGAGCACACGTGCCCTGTAGAAAATAATAATAATAATAATAATTTTCTTGAGGATGGGGGGATCCCTTTCCTCATGGAGCTCAAAGTCTAGGATGGAGATGGAGAATAATCAAGATTACTAAGTGAAATACTAGGTTGAACCATATGAAATGGCCATTTTTTTGTAGGAAAAGTTGTCAGCCATGACAGTTTCCTATGATTGCTGTTGAAGCCTGCACCTGAGGGCTGCTGGTGAGGGCCCAGGAACCCCTGCCTGGGCTGCTCAGGAGCTGCCCTGGGCCTGAGAACAGTGCAGAGAGCTCGGATGGATGGCTCCACTTCCTGCTCTGGGACTCAGAAGGGAGGACTAAGCAAGGCGTGATGGGGTGGGGCAGTAACTGAACTCTCTGGAATTCCTTTGGTGTAGAGAGGTTTTATCTAAATACCCAGAGACATGGTATGTGTGAGTTTTTAAAAATACTTTTGGCTTACCAGAAGGCCCACTGTTTTGCTTATCTTGGTCAGACACTGCCCTTACATTTTCGTGGCATGGACTATGTTAATGAAACTGGTGACCATTGGGACCAGAGGTCCACTAGTTGGGCCAGGAAGGACAGTGGCAACTGCCCATCCCTGGCCCATTGAGAACTGGATAAAGCACTGTTGCATTTATCTAGGCTGGCCGCCCAGGTGGGACTGTGTGCTTTCTGCAAATGTCACACCCATTAGGCAAGTGTCCCACAGCCCACTTATTATCCTCCCACGTGGACTTTACTGTGGCCTTATAAATATTCCAGTTGAGGCTTTGACAAGTTCCTGAACATGACACCTTTATGTGATGGGCCTCTCTGGTGTCTTCATTCACAAACTGATTGAGCCAGTAGCAGTTGCAAGATTTTAGGATGGGCTGAAGCACCTCAGGAATCACACTTGAACTTTTAGGAAAGGAGACACCTAAATGTTCTTGGATGATCTCAACATGCCGGGAAAATGTCTGATGCTATTAAAATACTGATTGGCCAGCCCCATGGCCTGTGGTTAAGGGAGCTAGATCCCACAGACCCCACACGGCCCTGGTGGCTTGAAAATCACTCCATGCACATGTGCATGTGCGACCAAAATCTCAACAGGATAAAGAAATGGAGGAGAGGACCAGCAGGTGGTGAGAAGGTTGAGGTGCTGGAGTCCACATGGCCAACTTCAGGGTTCGAGTCCCTGACCTGGTAGCTTGGGAATCACAACAGGTGCATGTGCATGCATACCCAGGATCCTGAGAGGATAGTGTCAGAGAGGGGACTGTGGAGCGGCCATCCTCCCTGGGTAGTGGTTTCTCACTTTCTCTCTCTCTGTCTCTCACTGGCGTGTGCACCTGCTCCCGCAACACCCTCCCCCCAAAAAAAAGGAAATGGAGAAGGGAATGTGGCGTGACCACACCTCGTTTGTGGGGGTGCTTTCTCCCTTTCTCTGTCTCTCTCTGGTGAGCCCATGTGACCTCTGGCAATTATAATAATAATAAGGATTATATTTTAAATCTACTTCCCCAAAGGATCTGACAAAGCCAAATAAGAGATTTCATGTGTTCTACAAACAGCCAGCACCTGCATAGAGCAGCAGAGCTGGTATGTGATGGCAAATCCGACGCCCCCATCCCTAATATATTAAAATATATTCATGCCACATATAATACAAAATGTGTATTGCTGTTGAATTGGAACCACACAATAGGAACCCTTGGTTTTTCAGAGAGCACGGCAGTGAAGGCTGCCTTGTTTGGGTCTGCGCTCAGCACAGACTGCAGGCACGCAGCAGTGCCTTCGAGTCCTGAGCAGGTGGGCACTGCACCTGCAGCAGTGGTGCTTAAGGCGAGGCCCTGGGGGAACCAGCAGTTAGCATAATGGCTATGTCACTGGACTCCCACGTAGTCGACCGCGGTTCGTGTCCCGGACCCGGTGGCTTAAAACTCACGCTGGGCGCGTGTGCGTGCGTGCCCAAGATCCCGAGAGGAGAATGGAGGAGAAGGGATTGCGGCGTGACCATCCCCCCTGGGGGGTGATTTCTCGCTTTCTGTCTCTATGTCTCTCTCTGTCTGTCTGGCGAGCGCACGCGCCCTACAGTGAAAATCTCTCCAAAAAAAAAAAAAAAAAAAAAAAAAAGTCAAAAAAAAAAAAAAAAAAGACGAGGCCCTGGGATACAGCTTAGGACCTGGAGGGTGACGCTGTCAAGGTGTCATTCATACCTCGGGGTGTGCCTTTCGAGGACACAAGGTGGGATACAAGCAGGACTGATCAGGATTTCTCACGCACCTCAGAAATATTTAAGAATTGTGGACTGGGAACCAGCAGTTAGCGTAATGGCTATGTCGCTGGACTCCCACGTAGTCGACCGCGGTTCGCGTCCCGGACCCGGTGGCTTAAAACTCACACCGGGCGCGTGTGCGTGCGTGCCCAAGATCCCGAGAGGAGAATGGAGGAGAAGGGCTTGCAGCGTGACCATCCCCCCTGGGGGGTGACTTCTCGCTTTCTGTCTCTATGTCTCGCTCTGTCTGTCTGGCAAGCGCACGCGCCCTATAGCAAAAACCTCTCAAAAAAAAAAAAAAAAGAATTGTGGACTGGCTCCATGACCAGGTGGTTCAGGTGCCCAGATCCCACATGGCTGATCACAAAGTTCAAATCCTCTACATAGAGGCTTGAAAAACATGCCAGACGTGTGCATTCATGTCCAGTGTGAAAAACATGCCAGGCATGTGTCTAAAACCTGACAGAGGGGAGAAATGGACGAGAAGGGATTGTAATGTGAGCATGCCCCATTGGTGGGTGCTTTCTCTCCCTGCCTCACTGGTGAGCACATGGGCCTCCTGACAAAGAAAGGGAGAGAAAAAAAAGAGGAATAGAAAGATTCAAGTGTTGGTTCAATCATGTTAGATCTCTCCAGCTAAGTACCTGTTCATAAGGAGGATAGTTTATTTTTTCAAAGTTATTCACCTATAGCCTAGTGTCTTCTATGTCCTCAAATTATTAAACCTTTCAAGTATACCCTCAAAAATAAGCTGATCTGCTTATTCTTAACTGGCAAAATTTAACCTGCTTGTGATCATAGAAAAGGGGACTTTAAAAAGTTCATGGAAACTTGGAATTAAAGTATGTGTTTATTTTGACACAAAAATTTTGAAATCCATGCATCCTTTTTTTCATAATACACATCATTTTGTTTTGTTTTGTTTTTGTTTTTGTTTTTGTTTTTTTATAGACCATAGTTTAGTTTATTTTTAACACCCATCATGCCATGAATTCATAGGGAATAGGTTCTAGTAGCTCAGGCTCATTTCCATTGGTTCTCACAAAGTGTGCTGCTCTGGGTGGAGCAGGCTGGCGCTTTAGTTGAACCCAGGTACCTTTCTCTTTGGCTTCTTTCTTTTTCTGGTCATTTTCCTTCACCCGTTTTAGGAAGCTATCTCTGCTCTTAGAATGCTTAATATACTCAATACGCACATTGATTCTCTTGGCAAGAATCTTGCCCTTAACTTGTTTGTTCACAACAATGCCAACAGCTTGGTGGGTAACACTGTAGACTCTTCCAGTTTTGCCATGGTAACATTTGTGGGGCATTCCTTTTTGAACAGTACCCATTCCCTTAATGTCTACAATATCACCTTTCTTGTAGATTCGCATATATGTAGCCAAAGGAACAACTCCATGTTTTCTAAAAGGCCTAGAGAACATGTATCGGGTGCCTCTCCTCTTTCTCTTTGTGTTGGTCATTTTGGTTAATTACTGGGAGATGGCGGTTCTGGCCAAAAGCATAATATACATTTTCATGAACATTTTATAGAGACACTCCTTGCCTTCCCCTACAATTATAGAGGAGTCTGCTGAAGGCTCTAAAGGTTCTGTGTGGATTCTCTTGGGCTGGGAGTGGGCAAACTCTTTTCTACAAAAAGCCAGACAGTAAATATTTTTGGTTTTGCAGGCCATGTGGTCTGTAGCAGTCATAGCAGTGGCTAAATGAATGGCCATGGCTGTGTTCTTATAAAACTTCATTTATAAGGCTACAATTGGCTTGAGGGCCTTAGTTTGTCAACAGGTCCCTTAGACCAAAAGGGAAATGCTCACTGCGGTAAGCGCCCTGTGGGAAGTACTAAGTTAATTTACTTCTCTAGAAGATTAATTATTAGTGGGTTCACATTCCGGCATATATGGCAGTAGCTGGAAATATTTCTAAAGGAGTGGCACGTCTTGAGCAGGTCAGTTACTTGCATGAAGCAGTCCCTAACGCTGTGTACAGCAGAGCAGATGGCATTGCCCAAAGCAGGCAGGCAAGCTAAGCAGCAGTGACCGGAGACCCTCCAGGTACATGATATTGTGCACAGCGTCACCTGTCTCTCTTCCGTCCTGCAGGCCTATTCCTTATCCTCGGTTTGATACTGTACCCTGCTGGCTGGGGCTGTCAGAAGGCCATAGACTACTGTGGACATTATGCATCTGCCTATAAACCTGGAGACTGCGCCTTGGGCTGGGCCTTCTACACCGCCATCGGTGGCACCGTCCTCACCTTCATCTGCGCTGTCTTCTCTGCCCAAGCAGAGATCGCAACCTCCAGTGACAAAGTACAAGAAGAAATCGAAGAGGGAAAAAACCTTATCTGCCTCCTTTAGTTTGGAACAGACACTAATGCCATTTTCTTGAGCAATCTTGTGAAATAATCCACCTCCAGTTTCATGATTTGAATCTAGTGGAGAACTAGCCTTTACCTACCGAAGCCACATTCCACCGCCCCAGGCCTTCACGGGACCAATGAGCGGCAGCATGCTGCCAAGCAAAGTTACTGGACGTGAGGACCACGGTGCAAACTACAGGGGACGGAACGTGAAAACAGTGTGCAAACCCTGACATGAAGTCGCCCAGCTCTGTCTGACTCCATCTCCCCCAGGGCTCAATGAAGGAGAATGATCTAAAACGCTACGCAGCCATTTCTCTGGGAACAGAAGAGACTGTTAGCCAGATCCGCAGGCTGTCCTGAGCATTTCTGCCCCATGGCTGCCAGTCTGTGAGCAGCTCTGCCTCAGGGTGAGGTGTGGGGTTGGTGTTTCTGTTTTGCTCTTAGTTCTCTCTAGTTGTCTCAGTTGCAGAGAAGACCACAGCCTTCCTGAGGACAGAACACGTGTGGAAGGGCACACATGGCAAGAAGCTGTCTTGTGCTCAGCTGGCCGGAGGGGTTGGCAGGAAGAGTG